GGGGGGGGGGGGGGGGGGGGGGGGGGGAGGGCGTTTGAGAGGCAGACGCGGGGTAAGTCTAGTAGTTATTCACTTGTGTTCTACTTTTTTATATTTTAGTTTACTGTCAGCTGTTACCGCGGTGTCACACATGCCAGTACGTATAATATTGTAATATTGTAACCACCTGTACAGGCTGATGATCAGAAGGATCTTCCGTCATGTAAACTATCCCCACTAAAATCATGTCTGATACTTTCTTGGTACCGCTACAGAGACCTCTTTCATAGCAATCAACAGTAAACTTTATTGAGTGCGACTGAGTGAATTTTTGGCACAAAAAACAAAGGAAAACTAATTTACAATAAACCTAATGACATCATAATCGGAAACTTTGACAGTGAAAAAGTTGATCAAGATGGGATTTTTTATTATAAAGATAAGTTACGTTTCTTCTTCGAAAGACCCAAATATTACACATACAAAAAATTATATTTGTGGTTAGTCGCAGTTTAAGGAAATTCACTAGATTTGTATTTATTATAGTACTGTTTTGCAGTATTGCTATGCAGTATAAACGTTGACACGTTTACCTTTGTTCACTACTGTTCCTAAATTAGTTGCGCGTTTCTTCCTGATACGTTCGCTGTTGCAAACCCTATCTTAAAGTGAACACATCAGTAAAATCACGAAGGTGTCCGCTTAATAGGGGTTCGACTGTAGTTCGTCCAATGATGTAAGACGAATGATGTATTTAATATACACCTAGACGTATCCCTCCCTACACACGCAAATTTGTTTGTGTGGACGAACTTCGCAGAGAGTTCATCTTCACAGATGAACGTTTGTTGGCCGCGCTTATACAGACAAACTATCAAACGAAGTAGTGTTTCTTTGTCCAGGCGAATCGTCTCGAGTAGCCAGTTAACAAAAGTTCTCTCTTGTTGCTAGAACGAGATTCAAGCTTCCCTCGGCCGCCATGACTCGACCCAAAAAGAAAAAGAAGGAGAAAACCGCAGATTGAAGAAGAATGGAAAAATGTAAATATTCTTGTAAAGATGTAAAATGATGTCCAATCCAGGACGAGAGTGGACAGTCACGCATTGGTACGTGGGCCTTCGCTCGAATCGTCGAAGTTCTCCTAATTATATTTTTCAGGTATGGTTGTTTTAATAGAAACAATAAAGTAAAAATGCCATAAAAGTTGAAGGTAAAAAACTATAATTAGCTTTTTCATTATTGCCACTACCTGCACTGACACATCCAATGATATAACAAAATAAAGGTTTGATGTTCTAACTATGTTCCAACTTAAATTGAGAATACATGATAGTGTTGGGAAAGCATGAAGAACAGCTAACCAAGATCACGTGACAACTCTCATGTTCTCTCATCCGAGTTTCATCCGAGTTTAAAAGAGTTTGAAGCGTTTTTGATACAAGAACAGGAATACTGTAAGATACCTGCTACCTTGTTACTACCTAACTGATCAACGCTTTTAAAAGTGCAATAAAAAGAATATCACAGGACAATGCGTAATAATTAACACTGACAACAAACTGATCGTTAAGCTTTCATATATTAATGCGTATTTTGTTACTTTACTAAGATATGTATCACATCTAATTTTAAATATTTTTAATCTATAATCATACAGCTTGAGGCTTCAGTCAGCCTTTCTGCAACCTGCCAGTCTAGTGTCCATAAATTCTATTCTACAAAAATCCCAATATTTTCTCCACACATTTATTTCTCATCATGCGCAATGTCAGTGGGGAGGAATTCATCTCTTAAGCCGAGATACTCGACAAGATCATGGAATTTTTTCGTTTCATCCTCGGGAACTTTCGGCAAAGGTGCGGGCTTTTCTGGACTCGCAATTCTCTTCGCACGCAAATAATCCAAGATATAAGCGAAAAATTGTGGATTGAAGTTAAAAACGACGTAGCCATCTTCGTACTTGAGACCGTCCTTCGACCCTCCGCTAAACCAGGAGGCGAGCAACGAGCCTTCAACTTGACACAGAGTTGATCTTTCCGCTGTAAATTGCTGTCCACCAACGTTGAGGCGAATTATTTCGTCGTTCACTTCAAACGCTTCAGGCGCTGCACCATCTACTTCTTGCACTTGTCTGTTTACCTTTTCAATTTCTTCTTTGAGAGCTGTCAGTAGTGGAGCTAGATCAGGTATGCCGTTGCTCATTTTGTCCACGCTCACTTTGTCGTTGTAAAATGCAAGTAATTGTCAGTTGTACAAGAAGACAGCCCAGCTTTTAAACAATTTAGAGGTGTGTGGCGTTCGCGTGAACGACCTGTAACGGATGTTTCTCGCAACTGAATGACGCAAATTATTATTTTGTCAGTATTGGTACTACGCATACTGACGTCAACACAAGACCGATCACATTTTTTAGAATACTTTTTCCATGTACAATAAATTTATGTATGGTAAATTGTATATTTGCAGGAACGGGATAATCTAGTAGCAGTTCTTAGGTCTTAAGATGAGTAGCAGTTCTTAGCCTTAGGATGAATTTTTAAAATTATGTTCCCCATTTTATTATTGACAATACTTCTATTTCAAGAGTTGATAGTACTAAATTCCTAGGTGTGATAATATAATGTTAAACAATCTTTGCCAAAAACTATGGGGCATATGCTGCAATTTAAAAATAGATGAGCGTGAACACGATACGAATTTTTTGCACAGTTTGGTGACATCAATGGGTGACATCCGTAGTAATATTTTATGTGAAATACCTGTAAACTAGCTGGTGTCCAAATGTATTGTCACAAGGTATTGCGTTGTATTGTATTGTGATTCTCGCCTGCTGCGCTTCCGGATACGACTCAAACTTTGATCGCTGCGTGTGTCCACGCGGGGGTGTCACGCACGATTTTCACTAATTATGTACATGATGCTTGTGATGTTACTGTGAGTGTATATCCACACCGGGCAAGCTTGAAAAATATACCTGGCCACGGTGGGAATCGAACCTACGACCTTTGGAATACTAGCCCAATGCTCTGCCTTCAGTCTCTGCGAACCTGTCTCATGTTCTGTATCACATACACAGCTTGACACAAGTCTTGTCCACCCACTCTTCCCACCCACACTATTGTTTTATATTGACACTATCCAATCAAATTATAGTTGATACAACCCACTAAATATACATTATCTAATTACCGTTAACCAATCAAAAACAATACATTAAATATAGCGTGATCTAGAAATAGCCAATCAGAACTACAAGCGGTTGCAGAACACGAACTTTTGGATATAGATTCGTGTCATTGGGGGTCGAGTCGGGTAAGGATAGGGCTCAGCATTCATGAACAGCGAGACATGAATTGATAACTCGAATTTTTAGTAACATTTGCATCGGGTATCTGACCATTTTTCTGCGCCTGCCATTGACATATCACGGCTGTGAGGAAAATAAAGGCCTGATCGCAGGTTATCTTTTGGCACGTTCTCCTATTGACGTGTTTTTGCTGGTGATGTCAGCACTAAGTTGCTTCCAAAGTTGGGCCCACTCACGCAAAAAGAACGCGAGCCAGACTTTTGTGCGGGATCTTGGCGCCACCAGCTTCCTATCAGAGGATGTCCTGGTGTAATACGCATACCGATCCATAACATGATTTACATAAATGTCAAAGTATTGTGAGCATATTGAATTTAAAATTCTGTACATCATGCACAGTTTCCAGATACAAATAGCATCGTTAATAGGAATAATAGGGATTCATTCTAACGTGCTAAATAACTAGGCGAGTTACAGCTTAGCATCTAAAATTAGATGCGCAAAACGCTTTTGAAACCCAACAAGCTTCAGTTGTTCATTCGAAAGTTGCCCTAAACTGCGCAGCCATATGTTCTAAACAAGATTTTATCTGTGCGTTTTATGGTGATTTTCCGCACGAATCGAAACCATTACTGTGTATTTATCGCCATGGAAACCAACATTACTGTAAGTTCCGATGCGATGACTTCATTGGGGAATCCCCAGAAATACCTATTTTTAGAAACAACTCCGCTTATAAATGTTGTGCAAATTCGAGGTCTGGGGGCGAGCAACAAAATGGCCGACATTTTCCGGCAAAAATATGCAGAAAGTGAGGCGAGAAAAACAGCAAAAATATGGTTCAAAATATAGTTCAAAATAGGCAACGAATCCATTAAAACATGACTAAAACATACACCATTAAAGATAAAAACTTCGAAGTGAAATTCGTGGTTGATGAACGCTACAAAGTTGTTGAAAACATCGGATGTGGAGCTTACGGGATTGTCTGCTCGGCGCTCGATGCAAAGACGCACGAGAAAGTTGCAATTAAAAAGATTCCTAAAGCTTTAGAAGTTTTGACGATTGCTAAAAGAACATACCGGGAATTGCGGATATTGAAACATTTTAATCATGATAATATTATTGCAATCAGAGACATCTTACGCCCGCCTGAGGATTTGTCGTCATTTAATGATGTCTATGTTGTTTTTGATATGATGGAGACAGACTTACACCGCATTATACATTCTGATCAACCTCTCACGGACGAACACATACGTTATTTTTTATATCAAATTCTTAGAGGTCTCAAGTATATACACTCGGCAAATGTGCTTCATCGAGACCTGAAGCCGAGCAATCTATTGGTCAATGAGGATTGCGAACTGAAAATCGGTGACTTTGGAATGGCCCGCGGGTTGGACTCCTCACCGACAGAACAGAAGAGGGTTATGACGGAATATGTGGCAACGCGGTGGTATAGAGCTCCTGAGCTGATGCTGTCTCTCAGCGAGTATTCCCAAGCGATGGACATTTGGTCTGTTGGATGCATCTTTGCCGAGATGTTGGGAAGAAAAGCGTTGTTCCCTGGGACAAATTATCTTAATCAACTGCAGGTAACCATTTTTTTGTAATATAACAGTGTAGGTCAGGGCTTGAAATAACAACCAATGGGTCATTCCAGAAAACAGCCATACCACCCCCACGGAGGAAATAGGAAGTTAACCCCCCTACCCCCTTCGGATGTCCTAATACATTTACTATTATCAGAAACAATTTTTTCTCCCCTCCCCTTCCGGACGGCAGAAATTTCCTCCGTGGGGGGAGTGTGGATCTTTTCTGGAACGACCCAATCAATGGTCGGCAAGAAATTGTTTGTGATCAGTGGAAAAGCAGGCTTTCCAACCTGAAAAAGCAGGAAAAGTCATGACTGCTGATCACCATGATCGAGAAGTTTGGGAACGTTATTTCAAACCCTGATAGGTAGTGCCAATAATTGGTTATTATAGATTTCTTAATATTTACTAGGAAAATACCATTAATTAGTGATAAATGTTAGACATAGTTTTTACCAATTTATCATATAGGAAATCTATAATGACCAATTATGGTAAGATTTCAGTTTTTATATTGATGGTATACATAGGAAATCTTTAACTCATTGAGTCGCATTGCGCCCTGATGCACCCTACTTTATTATTTTACTCTGTCTAACGCCAGACGATTTTACTCGTCAAGGGGAGAGCGCTGACACTTCATGGGTTAACTGGCCTATCTGTCCATGTGTCTAGTTAACCCATTGAGTCACATTGTGCCCTACCTTATTATTTTACTCTGTCTAGTGCCAGATGATTTTTCTCTGTCTAATCTGGATGATGTTACCAGGGTTCAAAATAAAAATCTCAAATATTGAAATTTTTGTAGGCTTTTTTGTACATGTACATTTTTTTACCGGCTGTTTTCATCTTTGACAACGAGAGTGTTAGCGTGCACCGTTAGACACGAGGGTTACCAGGAAAGCCTTGAAATTTTGGGCAAGTTACAAAATGCCAAATATTATCTTTTAATTTTCATTTTACAACATTTTACTTTTTTTTTATTTATTTTTTTATTTTTTTTTATTTTACTTTTTTTTAACATTTTTATTTTACTGAACCTCTAGCGACACACTTAAAAAAAAATCAAATAGTTATTGACCAATAACTGAAATGCAAAAAAATCACCTTTCCCGTTTAAAAATCGCCGGTAGGTGTCGTGAAAATGCCGGCTGTAGCCTGCAGCCGGCCGCTATTTTGAACCCTGTGTTACTCGTAAAGGGGAGAGCGCTAACGCTTAATGGGTTAGTGGAAGTTTAAATATTTTTCCTGTGAATGCAACTACCTTCAGGAAAGTACAAGCAGAAACTTTGACATTTCAAAGTAAGTTACCAACAAAGCGCCTTCTCTCGAAACATCAAAGTTTCTCCTTGTATTTTTCAGGTAATTGTATCCCTATCAATCCAAAGCTTTCATCTTATTATAATGCTGTATTTTTCTCTTTTTGTGAAATGCAGTTAATTCTCAGTGTGGTTGGGACTCCATCCCAAGACTTCTACCAGAGAATGGGTGCAGAACGTGTAAAGACGTACATCAGTAAATTGCCAAATAAACAAGCCGTGCAGCTTGACAAGATCTACAGCAAAGCAAGCCCGGTTGGCTTAAAACTTCTCGGCCAAATGTTGAAGTTGGATCCGCTCGAGAGGATAACGGCCGCAAAGGCGCTGGAGCACGAGTATTTAGAGAACTATCATGATATAGACGATGAGCCAGTGTGTTTTTCACCATTTGATTTCTCATTTGATCAACACAATGTGAGCAAGGAGTCTTTGAAGATGAGCATTGTTCAAGAAATTGAGTGTTACACAGTGGATGTTGTGCAGCCATTGGAGATTAACACATGTAGACGTACTGAAAAACAAGATTCTGGTAAGACTCGTGCTTAAGTAGCAATCAGTAACATTAAAGTAATTCAATCGAGTGTTGCAGAGTGTGTATAGTTGCATTTGTCTTAGCTGCTCCTGCTTAGGTCTAATTCAATTAATGCAGGCCTTAAAATATCTTTTACAGGGTCGTCTGACAAATTGTCCGGTGACGTTGAGTTTAGGTCGGACATATGTCCGATGACCTTCAGTTCAGTTTGACTCGGAAATAAGTCTGAATGTCACAAATGAATATCAGCATAATGTATTAATTCTGAACGGTAAATGTTGTAAAGATATTAAATAATTTGTTTCTTTCATACTTATTCCCAAGCCAAAATTAACTTGCTTGCCAGAACAGCAGTATTAAAAAAGACTTCAACAACTTAAGCCCGTTTTCCACTTCACCATTTCGCTCGCCGGCCCACGCTCGACTACGTTAAAACAACATTTCCAGTTCACCTTTTATACAATAGTACTCTGGTTTTCCATTTAACATACAAGCCTCTACTCCTGGGCTAGGGTACATTTTGACTTACGTCGGACAAAGCTACAGTTCGGTCGGACACCAATACACTCGGGTCGGACAAACAATAAACCTCAGTTTCACTTTTGTCGGACAGAATGTCCGGTGGTTTCCTCTCTACGTCGGACAATTGTACAAATGGGTCGGACAATGTCCGTGACCGACCGATATTTTAAGGCCTGATTAATGTATAAAATTTACCCTCAAAATTTCCGTCCCCAAAGTCTTTCAACAGCACATTTCAGCAGTTTCAACTTAGAAAGAAACTCTGGCCTGATTATGTTTGTTTTTATTTATCAGCAAATCGTCCACTGGCGTCATCCTCCCAGTCTGAAGACAACAACATTATCAAGAGAGCTGAACCTGACTTGAAACGAAAACAAAAACCGGACGACACTTCTAAACACAAACGCAGTAAAAAGAAAGGACAAAAACGAAGCAAAACAATGGTGGATAAAAAGGAGAAGAGCAGTGCCTCGGAGCTTAGCGAGAGCGATAGACAACTCCTGGATAGATGGAAAGACATGCAAAAGAAAACAAAACCTTTTATACATCCAATTAGGAAACATATGGAGGAAATTAAAGCGTTGAAAGAGCAGCAAGAAGGGGTCGACGAACATGAAGAAAACTTAGATGAAAAAGGTGAAGAACAAATGTCAACCAGTGGAGTACAGTATCATTTTACAAACTATGTTTCTGAGAAAGGCGATGGTGAATCTCTGAAAGCAGTTAAAGAACCTGCAGTTGTTGATCGTGGTCCAACGGTTATGTTTCCACAAAACTTGTTAGGTACGTCTTGGTCTTGTGTGCAATTCGGTTTTTTTTATAAGAAATATATACAGGGGTATATATCGGATAAAAACAATGTCTTTTCTCCATACCTAATTTTAAGAATTTTTTATCACTGCACATTTTATGCCAAAAATTTCCGAATGACTAAGAAAATTTCAGAATATTCGGAAATTTTTGGCGACCCCCCCCCGGTCGCCAAAAAAATTTTGGTCAGTGTACCATTTTAAGGGTCAAAAAATTTTTCCGGACATACCAAAAGCCAGATATCTCATGATTTTCGTACAAAAAACATATACTATTATTTAATTCGCTAATTTGGCAGTCATCATTTCAATTTCAATTGAATCATTCTCTTGTGTTAATTAACAACTTATCAAAGCAAATTTTATCACTGCACATTTTACATTTTATCACTGCACATTTTACTTTTATCACTGCACAAATTGGTTATCACTGCACACTAAAATTAGGTATGCTTTTCTCATGTGAAACTTCAACGTTTATGAACAGTGACTTGATGCAATACATAAATAGTTATTATACATATTGGGGGGGGGGGGTATTAGAGTGTGTGTGTATGGGGGGTATTAGAGGGTGTGGGGGGGGGGGTTGCAAAACCTTCAAATGCTCACTAGAAACGCAAAAGTTTCAGTTATAATAAACAATGTTTTTATCCAAGATTGTCATCACTATTAGTCAGTGATATTCCTTGTATTGGTTGCAATATTCGTTCTACATAAACCCCTATACATTTTTATATTTTTATAGGCATCACTGGTAATATTCCTATAACCCAAGGACTAATGGCTATTGGTCAGAAAACAACATCAGATGACATAGCAGTGGAGAACATGCTCATACCATCACATACACACCTCCCAGAGACATTCACCAACATTTCATTGTTGAATCAAACACAAGCAACTGAAACAAGAAATCAACCTGTTCAGCCTACTGTAGCAAGTACTGAACAAAATATTGCTGTTGCAAACACTTGTCCTGGTGAACGAGACGGAACATCTTTGCTGCCCGAAGAAGAGCCAATCAGCAACACCGTGTCAGCTGGACAACGAGCTATTTTGAGTAACATTCAAAACACAGGTCAACCACAACAGCCTGTCCAAAAACTGACTGGGAAAATAATATCCCATAGAAATGATGTTCCTGACGTTTGTGCTCAAGCCACAAATTCTGGTGAATTTCAAGATACCAGTTCCATTTCACAAAACCAGCCGAGTCTACCACAACCACCCACACTGTCCATGGCGGACCAAGCTTCCCTATTGTTTGAAGGCATACAATCCTCACAATACTCGGGTAAAAATCAGGTGCAAACTCCAACAGTTCTCGGTAATTATTATAACGTGCAAAATGACTGTGATCACGTGCAAGATGACAGAAATCACGTGCAAAGTAACAGAGATCACGTGCCATGTGACAGAAATCTGGTGTCAAATAACAGTGAACATATGCCACGTGACCAAGATCGCGGGCAAAGTGACATAAATAACATTACAAATGAGGGAAATCACGTGCAAACTCACACGAGTGGTGAAAATTTTGATCTGGTTACTAGCACTGCACACGTGAATAGAAGTCATAATCACGTGCCATCAATTCTTGGAATTCCTAATCATCCCCAAGTGAATGTGACATCTCTAGGAAACTTGAACAGAGGTAAATCCCACGTGCCAGGTCGATCGACCTTTGTCAGTTCTATGAATGAATCACGCAGCATTGTCACGAATTCTCACGTGAACATAGGTAAAAGTCACGTGGTAGGCAGCTCTACATTTGCAGCTTCTATCAATGAATCGCACAGAAACGACATCTCTCAAAAGAACTCTCACGTGTACAGCAGAAACACGCCCCAACAAGATGACGTGATCCCCTCAAGCAATGAAGCATCTTCTGTCAATAACCTGACAGATTCCATCGGACAACGACCATTCAATCTTATTGATTTCATTTCAAATAATTTCTCCGATAGAAGTTGTGGTATTTTACCGACAGATGTGAACAGCAACCAGGAAACGACGGCAGATATTTTAGCCAATAAAGCAGCGCAAGATGGCCAGACAGCGTTGTTGGAAAATATCATGGGCTTCAAGGAAACTGCTTCGGAGTCAATGACCTTACCTCTCACCCCAAAAGGCTCGTGTGGTTCTGGCTATGGTCTAGGTCTGGACGTTGATGAGTTCTTGAACAGCGAGGATGGTCAGAGAATGTAAGTTTGCGTGAGAATTTAAGAATGCTCTCTAGAGAGAACAGTTTAGAACTGGTAGAACTATCCAGTATAAATAAAGTTAGTTTAGTTTAGGTTTCCTCCTGTAGTAACACTGGATCAATAAGAGGTGATCCTTACTGGACCTCTAGAGAGAACAGTTTAGACTTTAGAATTAACACAGCTACGTAGTTTAGTTTTAATTATTCTTTAATTATCTTATCTTATCTTATCTTATTCTTTGATCATTTTAGATTCCGATGTCTTCGTGACCCAAGCAATCTAGACACCAGTCCTCCACTCTCAGCTTCGCTGTTGAACGCTTGGTTACCGGGAAATGTAATTGATCCGATTGACGTCACAGAAATACAGAATGAGCTGGAGTCAGCGTCGTTATTAGCGTTGTTCGAAGCTGGAAATGGGACGTGAAAATGATACAGCATGTTAGCATCTAGTAAGAATGAATTGACGCATACAAGAACATTGTTTCTTCTCATATAAGTCTTTGTTTGTCAAAAGCATTTGAAAAGCTTCAATGTGATCAAACCTCGTAGACCATAGACAGATTTAGATCGAGGACGAGGACGTCAAAGACGACGCGAAAATGGCGTGGCATATCCATACATGGGCACAACACGCCATTTTCACGTCGTCTTTGACGTTCGCGTCCTCGATCTAAATATATCTACTGTCCAATATAGACGCAAACGACGGTGGAAATGTTAATGTAGCCTGCGAATAGGTGTTTATGCCTGACGCCATGAACAATATATTACCGAGCTTAAATGAAGTATCCAGCTTCGCATCTCAAACAAAATGGCCGATTGCAAACAAGAGTGTAAATTTTGTAGTTTTGTAAATAAAATCTTTTAACGACAGAAGCCGTCTAGTTTTGTTAAAAAAATCACTCTTCTTTTATTGTTTTTCTCTCTGCTGCAAAGTAGTGTGGTCAAATGGCAGACAAAAGTGGAAAAAAGTATGTTTTTTATATGTATTTCTTACATTTTTATACTTTTATTTTTAATTTTTTACTTTCATTTATACAATAATAATAGTAATATATATGATATAGTGGTGGCACTGCTCTCAATTTTACTTTTAGATATGGTCTTATCTTGAAAAAGAAGCCAACTTCAGTTCAAATGAAACCATCAATATTTGGAGGTGATGATTCTGATGATGATGAGGTAAATTGCAGAATAAACTGGTTTGTGTCTTGACTACTGGAAAAAATATCTTAACCATGGGCCAGTGTGGAAAGTTTGTACTGCATGCCCGAGATATCGGGTGCGCAATTTTGATGCTTTCTATATATTTACTATTAAATTTTTGAAATCTTGGCCGTGCAATTTCCAAGCTTTCCAGTCAGGACCATATATGGGGGTCCACTGTAGGTAAGCACAAGTCATAATATTATTCTTGAATATTTTCAGGATAGCGGGAGAAAAAATGTAAATATCACAATCCGAAAAGAAGCCGAGAAAAAGAAGCAGATGCGACAGGTGCAGAATACTAAATCTCTATTTATTTAGACAAAAAAGGGGGATGAACAGAAGCAGATCTACCGTTAGGGTGGGCTCCACCTTGAAGAAAACTCTGGTATTCCATATTTGAGTTTTCGAATATGCCAGAAAAGATTCAATCACCAATACGGCGGGTTACCATATAGAGTAGCATTTTTTCAATTTTTTCCCAAAGTACGAGTGCTGTATAAATTTAAGTAATAAATGTATTGCTCAGAGTGCAGGAAATGGCATTTCAGGGCTTCAAATTTAAAACAGTTTCTGAGGGTGAATGCCCCCGGATCCCCGTAGTAATGCACCCCTCTCTGGAGAACCTCCACCACCTCTAACAAATCAGGGCAGATCTGCCTCTGGGGATGAAATTTTTTGTAATCCAAAGGGTTGGATTTGTGTTAATTAAATGAGTAAAAAACTGAAGGTGGTGAAAGTTAAAAATCAAGATGTTGAAAGTTGGTTGGAAAGGGGGAGACATTGGTAAAGACCTGGGGACGATTGTATAAAAAAGTGATTAAAGTAAACTATAGTTAGTGAAAACGTCATCCAATAAGAAGCGCGTATTTGAGAGTTAATCACTATTTGACTACAAAATAGTGATTAAAAAAGTGATTAAGAGTTTTATACAACCGACCCCTGGGGGGCAATTCAGAAGGGGGGGAGGGATATATGACCCATTTCTGAACTATGTATGTATTGGACCCAGACAGATCTAATCTCATGTCAGTGTCTGTTCTCAATATCTGCAACTACAGTATTTATGTCAGGATGTAACATTAGTACCAGGACCCGGTTGTTCAAAAGCCGATCAGCTTAATCCTAGTTAGGTTAATGAAAAATTTCAAAATGGTCTTACAACAGCTTGTTTATAAAGTTTAACATGGAAATATTTTTCAAGAAATCTTTTCTACATGAACACATTGAGTCTTGATATAAACAGATTTGCAAATCTACCCAAACCAAAACAGCAGGTTAAGTTTTATCCCAGGGTTAGCTCTACCCCAGGGGCCGGTTGTTCAAAGCTAACCCTTGGTTAAAATATAATCTGCTGTTTTAGTTTATGTATTTCTGCACGGCTGTTTATTTAAAAACTTCAGAGAAGAAAACTCCTACTGATCCAGACAAGATCTCTGAAGAAATATTTCCAAATTTATAAACAAGCTGTCAGGAAGTTTGCTTTGAATTTTAGGTTAACCTAGGGATAAGCTAATCGGCTTTTGAACAACCGGCCCCAGCTTTGAAGTTTGAACAATCGGCCCCTGTAGTTTTGTTGTATTGGGTAACAGTGCTAATTTCCTCACCAATATTAATTCCCCTTTTCTTCTAAACAAACATTTTGTTTAGACTCAACTTGAAATAAATAAAGTCCTTGAGGAAGACCCCACAGTGTATGACTATGACGCAGTCTATGATAAAATGGCAGAAAGGAAAGCAAATATATTGGCTGCTAAAACTGCTAAAGCTGACAAAAAGGTATGTGATCATCCATTCATATTAATTTGTTGACCACACACAGCATATTTATCAAAACAGTTAGTTTCGACTAATAACATGTTTTAGTAAATTTTTAAAAATCAAAAAGTGCCCCAAACCACTCCAAACTTTCTGAGGGTATTAAAATATGAATTGGAGATGGAACACATTGTAGTGACAATGGTGTTAAATGGTATTTTTACTTTTTAAAAGCCAAAGTACATCAGCAATCTTTTAAAATTTGCTGAAGTGAGGAAGAAAGGTGAAGAACGACGGGTTGAACGACAAGTACAGAAAGAGCGAGAAGCCGAGGGAAATGAGTTTGAAGATAAAGACGCCTTTGTCACATCTGCGTATCCTTTTGGAACGAAAAGCTACAGATAGCTAGTTGTTACATGTAGTGAGGCTTTGCGCTATTGTGGAGCAGAATCAGGTTGGCTGGCTGTTATCAGAATGAAACGTAAAGTTAATTTTTTTCAGGGGGGAATGGTCAGTCCAAACCTCCACATTTCATGAGGACCTATTTTGTAATTATTACTGGGGGAATAACTTGGGTGGGGGAGGGGGGGGGTAACTCATCTATGACATAAAATGTGACTTTCATATAATCCTAAAACATGTCTAAAATGTGTGAAATATTGCCCCGCAAACCCCCAAAATAGAAAACAAACAAAGTCCAGACTGCCCAATAATTGGACCCCCCTGCTCACACTGGTTTGGGGGTGGCTTTGCCCCTGGTTCTTTTTACTTCTGTGGTTAATTATTTATACTTTTTAATATGGGGATGAGTAAAAAGAGAGATTATTGAACACGCTATACTTTAAGTTGAGTTTGTGTGATATTGCAGATAATATTTTGTGTCCTTAATGTGTCCAGTTATCGACAAAAGATGCAAGAAATGGCAGAGGAGGAAGAACGTCAGAGAAAACGCGATGAAAGAGATGGTACTAAACACCCACTTCTAAACCAGTTTTGTGTACTAGCTGCCTTTTATGTGAGACAATTTTACTTGTCAATGAGAGGCTATGTGCACATTTGACAACACTTGGGTATAATAGCAATAATGACATATTCCCTTCCTTTCAGGTGATGTCACAAAACAAGCTGACCTGACTAAGTTTTATCGAAATTTGTTGGACAGAAATGTCTCGACCGGAGGTACGTTTGATACCGAACAACATACAGAGGCTCACAAAGACAACACAAAGAAATCACGACTCTCTCCGAGTGGGGAAAAGAAAGAAGGAAATAATAAGAAGACTGAAAGATCAGAAAGAACTTCAGAGAATGAAAGGAAACGAAGAGATTACAGGCAGAGTGAAGGTAAGATGTAGTGTTAGTTTTCCATGCGAGATACTAACTTCCCGGGTCTAGACGTCGAAGTTCTCCTGGTATTTTTCAGGTAGTCGCATCCGTATCAATCCACAGCTTTCTGATCATATAACATGTTTAGCAATGATCGATCAAGTCCAATGATTTGTTTAATTATTTAGGAAGACTTGGGCAAACTGAGCAACCCAGTTGCAAAAACATTGTTCCCTAGCCTGTTGATCAAGTCCAATGATTTGTTTAATTATTTAGGAAGACTTTGGCAAACTGAGCAACCCAGTTGCAAAAACATTGTTCCCTAGCCTGTTGATCAAGTCCAATGATTTGTTTAATTATTTAGGAAGACTTGGGCAAACTGAGCAACCCAGTTGCAAAAACATTGTTCCCTAGCCTGTTGATCAAGTCCAATGATTTGTTTAATTATTTAGGAAGACTTTGGCAAACTGAGCAACCCAGTTGCAAAAACATTGTTCCCTAGCCTGCGGCCGCAGGTTCAATTCCTGCCAGAGAACCTCTAGTTGTATTTTTCACAACTGCTCCTGATTGGGTCTCATAAATGTATATAATTCACACTTGAAATCCATCAACAAAACCATTCTAAAATACAAATACAACAGTAACTCCAAATAAAGTAAGCATTTTGATTCAACGTTTCGACTTTATTTATAGTCATCATCAGATTCACTTAGTCGTCATCATCATCTGATGATGACTAAATAAAGTCGAAACGTTGAATCAAAATGCTTACTTTATTCGGAGTTACCGTTGTATTGTATTTTATGAAAATACTCAGTGGTTCCCGCAATTAAAACCCTTCTACAATTAGTTCTATCAAGACGCCAAAAATCCTCCCCATACACCTAGGTGTCAGTGAAAGCCACCTGTTTTCCATCTTGTTGTTTTAGACAAAACGTCCAGGGACAGACATGGCCGTCGGCAAGACAAACATACAGATCATGCACAGGATAAACAGAAAACATACAAAGAAACCGAGCAGAATAAACCTCGCAGAGAGGACGACAAAACACGAGAGAAACCTACACGAGAACACGATGAACACAAGTGTCAACATGATGAACAACATCACAATAAACCAAGACACAAAGAACGAAAATACGACCCAGAGCATATCCCACAGCAGCAAAACACAGAAGAAAACGAAAAACAGGAAATGGAAGAAAACAAAAAACACGAAATGGAAGAAAACGAAAACCACGAAACGGAAGAAAAGGAAAAACAGGAAACTAGAAAGCGCTCAAATGAGGAAGCAAGCTCAGACAAAAGTTCAGGAAATTCTGAGAATACTGAAATAGAAAAGACAGAATCAGCATCAGGAGGAAAGGAAGAGAAGTCCACAGTGAACAAATTTGCAAAACATTCATCTACTGAAACAGTCATGTCAGCCAAAGAGAGATATTTAGCTCGTAAGAAAACCAGAGTTGTTGTCGTACAAGCTGGTTCAGATGATGAGAATTAGATATTGAACTGTGTATTTGTAAATAATAACATGAATAAATAGTTGAATAAGTAGTTTTCTGAGTTTTGTAAATAAATAATATTGTACAAATTTTATTCCCTGTCTTTATTCTATGAATCTGTTCATTCCATGGGGCACTCTATTTCGAAGAAGACCAGTTTGATTTACTTCATTTGATAGATCTATCCAACATGAATGAAGTTGTTTTGTTCAGATATACCACTTAACTGCTGTAACACTGTTTTAGAGCTAAGAAAAGATGGCCCTCACTGCACCTTCTTATGCGGCCCTCTTGTGCCCCCCCCCCGATGGCCTATACAGGGTGTTCCCCCCAAAAAGTGCATCTTTTGCAAGCCTTTGTTGGAATTCGAATGCCTTGAAGTGTATGACTAATTATTCATTTGACTATTCTTATGTAGTTGTGCTCCTTCATATGATTAGAAGCTATTTTAAATTCCCAGGACTCGTTTTTCAATACACGGTATGCTCAGACATTCAAATTATTACAAAAGGGAGATTTCAAAAGGAATACTTTTTGCCTTTTGGGGGACATACTGTAGTAGGACTTATAAGACAACAAAACAGTGCTTGCTCTTCTGCAGTCTATTGTGATGTAAATAATTCATTTCGGGAGCCGTTAACACAAAAGTAGATAAAATAATTTGTACATAGGTAATCATGCGATGGCGAGTACAATTAGGGATTTAATAGTACGACTATGATGTTTGGAAATTTTGCCAAAATTGGACGAGCTGCATTACTTCTTTTGTTAAAGCAACATTCGGTGCTCTTGTTCGTATTTTCATCTAGTTTCTCTGGGGCAATTTCATTTCACATTTGTATTTTGTTAAAATACCTTTCCGCCATTTTGTTTGTTTTGGGAAAACATTAAAGTACAATTATTAATTACAATTATTGAAATAATATACTCCTCTCAACCAATCAGCATCCAGTAATTTTGTCATGCTAATAATAAGTTGAATATTAAATATGGGTCGATAATTAAATTCCAGCTTCAACACAGCAGCCAATCACAAGCAACCTTCTGTAAGCTAAACCAATCAGAGCTCGTAAAAACTGACCAACAAGAAAGAAGGGTGTGGTATGCAAATCGTTAGCCTCCTCCGCAGGCATCTCACCCGACGAATCGGGTGGTGGGAAAAATCGTGGGCCTTCGCGGCAAATTTGAAAAAATTTCTGCTCGCCGCCATCTTGACTCGAAGTTTAGCAAGAAATACATACTAAAGCAACACAAAACTTCGCTTTTATGAAACTTTATCGAAATAGAATGGTTATGCCATGCAAAGGAACAGGTTAGTGTTGAATTTGTCTATCTTTTAAACGTTTGTGAGTTGTTCTTGTCAAATTTTAGCCGTGTTTTGAAACACGCGCTACAATCATTGAATTACTTCTCCCTCCGTTCAAGTGCTTCGTTTTCCCTTAGTCGCTTCATTTTCATAGTATTTCCCCAACATATTCCGTCGAAAATATTGAGAAATACCCCCAGCTTTAATTGAGATAACTCATATTTGTTTTATATGCTGTTTCAGGACAAACATTTGACGAGAAAGTTGACAAAGTTAAGTCGCTTAATCGCCGACATATCGAAGCACAACGACGGTAAGCATATATAAGTTTTTGTTTCTGGTTTAGTGGTTTGTTGTTCGCTTTTTAAACTTCCCTTATACAACCAGAATCTGTTCATTGTTGAAGCTTTATAAACGCTCAAAGTTAAAATATTTAGTTTACATTTTAAAGGCTTTAAAATTTCGTCACTACGAGCGAAAATTATGCTGAATATCATAAACCTCCGACTATATTAAAAAAGCCCCGGGCTTATATTCTTTCGTAAAGCGATTTTTGATGGTCTTATACATGGACAATCTTTTGTGTTAGTGTAATAGTGATAAACAACTTCAAACAAGTATAGTAATACCGTAAACCTCCAACTATAAGCCCTGGGCAACTATATTTAAGCCCTGGGCTTAGGGGCGGACCATTAGAAATCCCGGGAGGGGGGGTATAAAATTTTTGCGGCACGAAATTTTTTTTCAGTCTCATGTCTCTGCAGGAATTTTTTTAATGCATTTAACCTCTGCACGAATTTTTTTTCAAGACTACTTGTACTTTGCTGTTTGCTTGCACAATTTTTTTTCTCTGACGTAATGGCTGCACGAATTTTTTTTCCAGGCATTTTTCTTTGCACGAATTTTTTTTTGGGAATTTTCACACCCCCTCCCGGGATTTCTAATGGTCCACCCCTTATATACTTTCGTAAGCGATTTTTGATAGGCTTATACTAGGGTGGGGATTTATATTCTGGGCTAATACATATGGACGATCTTTTGTGTTGGTAATAAACAAGTCAGACATAAACAAGTCTGTCATAAACAGGAAAATAAACATGTATTAAATTAATAACACGCCTTGATTAATTAACATAGTTGGCTATAAAGACAATGACAATGTTTTAAATATCGTTCTCTGCTATATTAAAAGACAATGTCAATGTTGAATAACCTGACGTAGTGGACTTATATTGGGGGGGGCTTATATTCGGGG